CTTCTTGTGTGCTGGGGTTTACAGAAGTGTGTCACCATTCCTGGATATTTTTAAATGTATTTGTGCAATTTAGGTTTTCTTCTAATTACTTTCATTTATGTGTAAAAGAGGGACTTTTGATTATTTTAATAACCTGGGTGGATTAAATCCATAATCATAAAGTCTTAGCATAATAAATCATGACCGAGTCAACAAGTAACATATAGATATATACACCTTTTTTTCTGTCTTTTTTTAAGATAGCCATCAGCACTGCAAAAATCTTAGTTATGAGAGTGCTTTTGTCAGAGAAACATGTTACCACAATATATTTGAATTAAATGAACATTTACTTCAAGTCAAATGAAAAACTCTTTTTAAGTGTGTGTTTTGTACCTGTAACTCGTATTTTTCACTCTTGTATACTGTGTTGACAAAGGATTTTAACTTGAAAATGTTGGCTTTATAAATTTATAATATACATGGATAGAGTTTCATTGGAAGATTATTGGTATGTGGAACTTTGAAAGTGCATATAAAATACATACTTTCAAATTTGTATTTTTTGTGGGCTTGTGTGTGTGTTTGTTAATTGGAAGGATAAACAAGAGGTGGATAGCAGCATATATTACTTGATAGTTGGGTTAAAGGTGGTTTTTCATCCTTACAATTACTTGTCTCTAGAATTTTGAGAATATGTCCAATGATGATTTTTTTTAAAGAAAAAAAAAACAGTTTCTAGGAATGCACAAGGCTGGCTCAGTGTGGGTCCAAAAGTTTTTCCAGTGTTATCTTAAAGAAAAAAATACTTGTGGTTATTTATCCCAGAGTTATTCAGCACAATGTGACATTGGTTTGGGTTTTGCTAGACCCCTTCTCTGATAACTATTAGAGAATAGCTTCTCTTTTGACAATGAAAATATCTGACCATTTAAAACCTATATATTTAACCTACCTCACTTACTTTGTTTATGCCTTTGGGTTCTCACTTGTTCAAGACTCTAGATTGGGTGCTATATGCCTGTGTGGCGATATCTCACTTTCATGGCTAGATAGCTATGTAGCCATGTTAGCTATAATTTAGCATTGGAAAATCTCTGAGCCATCTCTACGGCCTTATCCTTCTTTATTGTCTTCTGGGCTTATATATCTTGCAGCTCTAGTTGTTATCAATTAGTCCTCCCAAATGATTATTCTAGTCCGACTTTTAAAGGTAAGGTCAAAGAAAGATGAGTGATGTTTTATGATTTGTGTGTGTATGGATACCCCATGAAGCCTTGAGCTCTGAGAGAATATAGAGGGAATTGAGGACCTAGAAGAAACATGATCAACAGTGGATTTCATCAAGCTAGTGGCAGAAACAGGATCTTATTTTGTGTCTTCAGTCTGAAATCCCACTTTGTTCTTTCTCTGTTCATTGAAACTGTTAGCCCTGTGAATGACTCACACACCCCCCCCCCGCCACACACACACTGTATGCATGCACAGGCAAATATAACCTCATGATTTTACTGTCAGTGTAGCAAAAGATGAAGCTTAGAAGTGGATTACTTGACCCTTTCTCCTCTTAGTATCCTCTTTATTACCAGCATTCTCTTAGATTTGCAGTTGGGTTCCACACATTAAAGCCTCATTATACTGTTTTGTGTGTGTAGTTTTTTTCCTCTTTCCTCTCAGAAAAAAATTATGCAAGGTTGTTCATAAAGCAGCTTTGCATCCTATCACAACACCTTTTCCCCTGGGCTTATTAGAAATCCCTTTTCTGCCTGTACTGTTACTCTGGGGTTGGAGCTTGCTTCATTTCTTATACAAAGCCTGGTGGGTTTCAGGAACATTTATCATGTTTGTATGAGTGTTCTAAGCACAAAAAAAATGAAATTATCTTTTTATATGATAAATTCAAGAACCTTTTTTATTCCAAGTTCATTATACTTTCTGATACTAGAATATCATTTTAAATCCTCTTAATGCTTATACTTTTGTTTTCTTTAATAATGTTCTTTTCTTCTGTGGAATTCTTAGCTGTGCCAGGCTTTTTCTTTTAGGCCATCTACCAGCTCCCAAACCATGACACAGAGACTTATTATTAGTTGTGAATAAGATTGGCCTAGCTTAGGTATGTTTCTGGCTAGCTCATATTTATGTTTTTATTTGTTTTCGTTTTTTTAAAAAAAACTTCTTTATTGAATTTTTGGGGTTTCACATCTTGCACCCCAATTCTGTTCACCTTCTGGTCTCCCAGTATTCCTCCCCATCCCTGTTGCATTCTCCCACAAAACAAAACAAAGTAAGCAAGCAAGCAAACAAAACCAAGAACAACAACAAAACAATAAATCAAAACAGAATAAAAACCGCACCTAAAACCGAAAACTCTCTGTTTAGCCTTCTCTCCTGACTCTTCATCACCTCTTCGTTCATCCTGATGGTATTGGAGGCTTCAGTGTGTCATTTAGTATACTCCTTTGTCCCATCAGCTTGACTGGCAAATGTCCATTGCAGTGAGTCTTTGGTCTGGTTCAAGGCCTCTGGTCTTTGGTACACTATCCTCACTGGATCCTCACCAGAGCTCTTCTGGGGTACCTTGTGTCTTGGAGATCTTGCTGGTATAGTTCCACAGGACCAGCCCTTTCACAAACTCCAGCAAGTCCTAGATGGGGGAGATGCTAGGCCCAGCTGTGAACCTGGGCGTTCTGCCTAGCTCTTTTAATTTTATTAACCTGTTTCTATTTATCTACATTTTGCCCCAGGGCTTAATATCTTTATTACTTTTGTATATCTTATTTTCACTGCTTCTCTATGTCTGGGTGGCTGGCATCTGCCTGGCTTCTTGCCCTGGATGTGTCCCTTGTTCTTTCCTCTTCCTCTTCTCTTATTCTTCCTCTCTCTTGAGCCTAGATTTTTCTTCCTATTTCTTATTTCTGCCTGCCAGCTCCACCTATCCCTCTCTCTGCCCAGCTATTGGTAATTCAGCTCTTTATTAAAACAATCAGGTGCCTTAGGCATGCAAGGTGAAACAAATGTAACATATCCTTATATAATTAAACACACATCCTTACGTCATTAAATACTGTATAAACAAAAGCAACACACCTTTACATAGTTAAATATTCTGTAGTATAAACAAACGTAACACGTTTTTGTTTAAAGTAATATTCCACAACACTCAGCTTTTAAAAATATAGTACGCATGCACACCCACTCACCTGCCTGCCTGCCTGCCTGTTACCATGTTTTGTGTTTGTGCTCTTGTCTGTCTTATGTTGTTGGAGTTCAGAAGATGGTTTCAGATCACCTGGAGCTGTAGTTAACACCATCTGTGCTCCTGAACATGTTTTCTGGGAACTTCAGTATATTGTAGTATATTGTAAGAGTTCTTAACCATTGAGCCATCTCTCTAGCCCCCAAATCCCAGATTTTATGTGGTAAACTGTGTATCGTAGCACCCCCCCCCCCCGATTCTTTCTTTCCTTCACTCACCGTCCTTGCTGGGTACCAAAGCTGGTTTCAAATTCACGAATCTCCTATTTGAGCCTCTTAAGTGCCAGGATTATAGGTAGATTCTCCACTACTAACTCTTAGAGTGTGTATCTTCTATCCACATAGTACCAAGCACATCATGGGAATTATATCATTATTTATTAAGTAAATGAATAAACTAAATCTAGAGTCAGATACTTGTATTGACTAAAGAAACGGGAAAGCTTTCAGGAAATAGATTGGGCTTATTGATGGTCTCTAAGAACTGGTAGTATTTAAAGAAGCAGAAAAGGAGCAAATTAGATGTAATCAAAACAAGATGAGTCACTGAAACAAAAATCTTTTTCAGTTAGTGTATATGGTGTGTTTGATTGATACATGTCTGGTGATTTTGAAATTGAGGAGGATCTTAGTATTAACCCATAGAAAGCTCTGGAATTTTTTTCTTAATTGCATAGCCAGTTGAAGCCTGAGGGTGAATTGGGAGGAAAACAGCCCAGACTGTATCTGACATTATGCATTATTATGGTAGAAAAGTACACCTCTGGCAAAACAAGTTGAACAGTTGTGTTACTACTCCAGGTAGAACTGAATGAAAGTATAGACCTGTGAGTGTCAAGGGGAAGGGTAAATTAGGTGCGTAGTCTATTTTTGGCCACTGAGTGAAAGAACAGATGTATAGCTAAGTCTTGAGAAAAGTATTGGTATTGGTGAGAGAAAACTATCAGAAGCAGCAAAGTTTGGGGAGTTGAGGCTTTAAATGCAAATAAATCTTTTGGGCTAGAGATATAGAAATCTTTCTGCATAACTTCATAAATACATTCCCTTAATTACCAAGTTACATTTAGTCTGTACACCATCCCATCTTAACAACAGGCAAATATATGCACCTGATCTTTTTCCTAATGCTTATTCTGTGTTTTATTAATATTTCTTGGATTGGACTCTTCTCATAGAAGGATGGTCTAATATTTTCTTTTTCATATTTGTTTTAGAATATGGGGCATGTTGAGGACATGCAGGGAAAAAAACTAATTAATAGTAGTTTAAATCTATCAGGTCTCCTAACAAGCAGTTTGCCACTAAAAATGAATTTACTATTTTGAGACAGAATCTCAATGTGTAATCCAGGATTACTTTAAATTTAAGATCCTCTTGCCTCAGCTTTCTGAGTGCTGAGATTATAGGCCTATTCCACAGTACTTACTTGGCTCTTAACAGGTAATTATTGTTAGAAGATTTGATTTGTGGAACTTTTCATTGCATTTATGATTTTTCTACTACCAATGTTATGAGGGCTCTGTTAAAGGCCTTAAATCAAAATTCAGTGACTGCCAATCTACCATCATCTCTGATTTACCCTTTCATTTTTGAGACCCTAAAACAAAGCCCTGTACTTACCCGTGTTCCATTAGCAGCTTTTCGTTTTATTTAAGTATCCAACTCTGAAATTCATATTTTGCTACTATTACATGTCAGAAATATATGGTACTTATGGCATTAATTGTTTTGCTTTTTAGGAAAATAGAGGAGAAGGGAATACCATGGGACAAACAGTGAATGAAGGTAAGATTTGCTTATCTAAAGACTGTTTTTAGCTGTTTCTAACAAGTATCTTCGCATATACTGAACTTCTGAAATAAAGCCTTTAAAATGTTTTAACAAATAACATAGTATTAAACAATTACCTGCTGATTATACCCTTTTCCCTATTGAATACTGTCATACTCTGTTTCTAGTATTTTCCTTCCAGAATTATTTTCTTTTTCATATTTGAAAAAAGAAATGCTTTCTTAGATTTCTCTGTAGACATATTTTATTGACAATTGATTAGGGTACAGCATTCTTAGAAGCACCTTTATTTAGAAGATAGTCATCAAGTAATTGAGGAACTAAATTGCTCCTAATCTCAATAAATTCTTTGCTACATACTTGGAATTCTTATATTCATTTCTTAAAGTCGGTTTTATTGCCCTTATTTATTCTGTTGTCCCTTAAGGGATTCAGGTAAAGTCTTCTTTTAAAAATGGTTTTTACTTTTAATTACATGTATATGTTATGTCTTTGTGGATATGTGCATTTGAGTGAAGTTGCCTATGGAAGACAGAGAGGACATCAGATGCCCTAGAGTTGTAGTTTCAGGCAGCTGTGAGCCACCTAAATAGGGTACTGTGGTAGTCATCTGCAAGAATAGTAAGTGCTCTTACCAACTCAACTTTCTCTATAGCCTCCAAATAAGAAAACTAAAAGTCTTGGAGGTAACTGAATAGATCTTATAATAGGGTTTTACAAAGCCAAAGTAAGAATAGAAATATCCTGGTCTGGGGGTGTAATTTCGGCATTAGGAGGACTTGCCTAGCATGTAAAAAGCACTTTTTTTTTCAGTTCACCCTACCAAACAATAAAATTAAAAATAGTAGAAAGTAGGAACTAAAAAAAGAATAAATAGAATTCAATTCTTTTAACTGTAATATGAATGACTAATTATTTCATCCTGTATTTCTCTGTAGAAGTCTGCTTATTGACTCATTCATATGCCACACCTCTTTGCACTTTGTTGCGCTTTATTTGCCATAATACATTCTTCACACATTTGCCTCTTTATCCTATCTTGTCTATCTTACTGCTTTCTTCTGATCACATGTTGAGTGCTGGATGCTGTCCTTTAATTTTGTTTAGTTTATTTGTTTGCTCACCTTGGTATAGTATTTATAAATAGATTGTTGGTTTCCTTAGAAAAAGACCCATGCTGTTAACATTTTTGTCATAGAAATTCTTACTATAGAACTATTTGGTAAATTTTTTAAGTGTGTGATTTCTTCAGACAATTTAATGAGAATTGTCTCCCTAAAATATTCATAGACCTATAAGGATTTCTTAATCAAAACCTGAAATACATATCAACCATTGCTATATGGAAACTCTGAGTCCTGAGATTCAAGCAGTCACACTTAAGATAATGAAAGACATTTGAAAAACAATGATACTGTTGATTATTTGATGATATTAAGAACTTAGGATATTTTAGCATTATATTTTATAATTATTTCTTTCATATATACTCTAATTTGTCTGAGTGAAGTGATATATTTTATATTTGGTGACATCTCAAGAATTTTGAGCCCTCATTGAAATATGTAGTTTAGCATACAAAAAAACCTGAGTAGTACATTGTGTTTTATTCTAGCTTGCATGTGATGTTTTTTTAAACACTTGAAAGCATCACTTATTTCTAGGAAATTATTTTAAGCAGTGTAAGGATCCACCAACAGTTGATTTAGATTATTGACACATTCACTTAACATGTTTTAGGGCATTATATATCCCAGATCCTGGTCTATGTTGCAAACATGTATTACTGAGCAACACGGGCAGAATTAAATACTTAATTTTATAAAACATTTTAGTAGTGAAAAATACAGTAAAGAAAATGGAAAAGTAAATTATAAAGTGTAGAATGCACTAGAAAGTATTAGGACACATAGCAAATGAAGATAATCATAAAATTTAAATATGTTCTCATTTAAATATTAAACTAATTATATAATCTTTGAAGTGTTCTTTCAGACTATTCCAATTTTATTTTCTTTCCCTTTGGTTAGAATCAATGGATGTCAAGAAGGACAATCAAGAGAAAACAACTCATTCAAGTACATCTTCTGTGCAAAGAAGTAGGTTTTTAAGTAATTTATTTAATACATAATTTTTCTTCCTCTTTCAGTGTTATAATGAACTCATGTTGCTTCTGGTATAGTATGTATATACTAACTTCCAATACCTTAGGAATCTTAGTCATAGAAAGGATTAAAAATGTACTGTGATATTTTAACTTTTAATTTATTTAAAGATGAATTGATAAAGATTGCATGAAATTACAATTGTATATTTAAGTGCAAATTTGTCCAATTTTTAATGGTAGAAATTTGTCAATTAAAATTATCAGACTTTTTATATATAAATGAGATTACCTAATCAACTAGGCAATTATATGAATATATTTTCAAGGATCTAGACCATGGCATTTCATTTTAGTAATCAGTGAGTTACTGTTAGAGGTAAATTCTTTTTTTTTTTGGATAATGCTTGACACATGCAATTATCTAGTGCCAAACAGAACAGGTATGATTTCTGCTTTCTCTGATCTTCAGTAGGTTGGTAGATAGTAAATACCTAACTATAGTTGTAATGAATGCTATGTATGTTGTTCATTAAACTGAGAGATTTCATCTAAGATATTTCCTGCTTATCATCTTCACATAGCATATGAACCCAAGCTTGGCCCTGATAAAAATACATTATAATTCTGATTAACTCCAGAGAAAATCAAGGGGGTTGATAGAGATTATTATATTCCATGTTCCACAATGTGTTAGACCTAATGTATAAATTAGAATGGAGTATAGGCTAATATGAAGAAGAACTCTGTGGATGTGTGTGCACACTAGTCAGATCACACAGTTATGTATGTGCATGCACCTGTCTTTTGAAAAGTTACATCAGTTTCTAGATATCTTCCCCAAGAGAAAATGACCTCAGGTTCTCCTATTCTACTGAGAACATTACACAAAGGCAGAAAAAACTTCAGGCTGACTTTTGGTTGCTGGTTAGGAATACCAACTGTGGTGTTGATGTAGGTGTTAGGTGTGTTAAATCTAAATTAATAAATATTGGATCCATGTGTGTTTCCATTGTGTTAATGGTAGTGATTATCACATGGGAAGCCAAGAACAATTTTGGTAAAGCAAAGTAAGTCTCTGGTATACACTACAGATTGACATTGGCTAACAATATGATAGAAAATGTTTATGCTAATAGAACACTACTGGATAGAAATTGGTAACTCAGATTATAGCCAAGTCAGATAGAAATGACGATAGAATATTTACAAATTGTGTAGGAAGATTGAGTTTGAGGTCAGCCCAGACTATGTAGCAAGACTTCATCTCAAAGAAAAGTTTTGATCAGATTCATTAAATATTTTCTTTTTTCTTTTTATTATTATTACAAATTTTCACCTCTTCCCCCCCCTCCTTCCATTTCCCTCCCCCTCCCTCTCCAGTCAAAAGAGCAGTCAGGGTTCCCTGCCCTGTGGGAAGTCCAAGGTCCTCCCCCCTCCATCCAGGTCTAGGAAGGTGAGCATCCAAACAGACTAGGTTCCCACAAAGCCAGTACATGGAGTAGAATCAAAAACCAGTGCCTTTGTCCTTGGCTTCTCAGTTAGCCCTCCATGTCAGCCACATTCAGAGAGTCTGGTTTGATCACATGCTCCATCAGTCCCAGTCCAGCTGGCCTTGGTGACCTCCCATTAGATCAGCCCCACCGTCTCAGTGGGTGGGTGCACCCCTCACGGCCCCGACTTCCTTGCTCATGTTCTCTCTCCTTCTGCTCCTCATTTGGACCTTAGGAGCTCAGTCCAGTGCTCCAATGTGGGTCTCTGTCTCTATCTCCATCCATTGCCAGATGAATGTTCTATGGTGATATGCAAGATAGGCATCAGAGTGGCTATAGTATAGGGCCAGTTCAGGCGCCCTCTCCTCAGCTGTTCAAGGAACAAGCTGGGGACATCTCCTAGGACACCTGGGAACCCCTCTAAAGTCCAGTCTCTTGCCAACCCTCAAATGACTCCCTTAATTAAGATATATACTTCCCTTCTCCCATATCCACTCCTCCTCCATCCCAAGTGTCCCATTCCCTCAAGCTCTCTCCATCCTCCCCTTCTCACTTCTCTCTCCCCATCTCCTCTTACCCCCACCCCACCCAGACCCCCAAGCTCTCAATTTTGGCCTGGAAATCTTGTATACTTCCAATATCCAGGAGGATAACTATATGGTTTTTTTGGAGGATATACCTTCCTATTTAGCTTATCTAGGATCATTAATTATAGGCTCAATGTCCTTTATTTATGGCTATAATCCACTAATGAGTGAGTACATACCATATTCATCTTTTTGGGTCTGGGTTACCTCACTCAGGATAATGTTCTCTATTTCTATCCATTTGCATGCAGAATTCAAAATATTTTCTCATTTCACTAAAATCTTCATAGATACTTCTTCAAAGAAAAAGATTAGCTCTCTGAGAAGTATATGACCACAGTCTTTAGTCATTGTTTTCCTTTTTGAGGTGTTATAATCTCAACTAAATCTTAGTCTTTTGTTGTTTGTAATTTATGTTTTATTTTGTTCTTGTTCTTCTATTGCTCTGTTGGATCATGTGGTGTTAGAACTTCAGTTAGAATTGTAGCACTTCTGATTTTTATGTTAGGAGACCATGGAAATATTTTGACAATTTAGTTGTGGACTTGGATCTCAGTTTTTACTTTGGACAAAGCTAAGTATTTACAACTTTAGGGACAATTTTAACATTAATCTTTTACTGTACACTATTTAGTACTCATAGGCTTTATTTCATTTAATTCTAAACACACATGGTACCATATATACTCATTTTCACATATTTTACATAAGGTAACTGAGGCAGAGAAAGTGAAATGATATGCTCAGGGTTATATAATAAGTCGTAGACCCATACTGAAAACAGGGAGATCTGACTCTGAAGTACATGTTCTTGACACTTTGCTTCATGATTTTCAATACTGTGGGAGTACTCACTTTACGCCATCTAGAAGCAGGATCAAACTGTGATTTTAGATCATTGGCTGAGTTTAATGAAAACTTCTGTAATCTTACATATAACATGTGTATTACATATGCATAGATATGTGAATACTTATAGTATTTTATGGTATACAGGGGATGGCTCATACTGACTTGAAGGAGCTAGTTGTACACATTTTCCTCCAACTTAGTGGTTAATAAGTTTTGTTTGGCATACTGTAGTCAGCCATGGTGTCAATATTTATATTATAGAAATCTACAGATACTTAAAGCAGGTTTTATTATTTGTATTTTCTAGAAAATTGATTGGTAAATAATCTCTATGTTAGATATCTGTGTTATCCTTTGAAGGATGTAATAGTCCTTCCCTTGGGGGAGGTGTATTCCAAGATCCTACTCTGGTAGATGCTTGAAACTGGATAGTAATGGATGCTTTACATATAAATATGTGATAATTGTTTGATTTATAAATAAGACAAAGACACAATAAGAGATTCTTAGCTATTAGCATAAATATCAGGACCCTCAGCATACTACTTTTCTTTCATTGTTAGGAGCTTTTACCTTTTCATTTAATGAAAGAATAGCCTTTTATGGTTTCACTCTGCCATATCTGAATTACCGAGTATCAATATTCTTGCACTTTGTGGCTATTGTTAAGTTGAAAGTAAGGTAAGATATTTGGATACTGTCTATTTGTTACTTTAGCAGGCAGCTTGATGACAAGTTGTTGCTAAGTGATTAGCAGGCTGGTTGCATTTGTGGCATAAATCTCTTGAGTGGGATAGAGTGTGACTATGTGAGATTTTATCACACTGCTTACAGCAACTGTACAATTTAAAACTTATGAATTATCTCTGGAATTCTCTCTTTAACATTTTGTATTGCAACTGAATAAAAATAGTTGAAATCATACATAAGGGAGGCTGAGGATAAAAAAGTAGCACTGTGTATCAGAAACTGGTAACAGAGATTCACCTAGGGAAGAGAAGTCAAAAATTTATAGTGTTTAACAAGAACATAAAAACTTTCTGTTTGCTTGAAAATTAGACTCTGTATATGAATATGTATTTTGTAGTATTTCTAGTCAGTTTTTCAAGTGTTCTGACGGTCTGGCTAGCTTAATGAAAGTGTTCAATCTAGGAAGAGAGACTTCTTTCTGATAGCACTGTGGCATGTTATAAAGACTCTTGAAAGAGCACAGCAAGAATCTATAGAACATGTATAGCACTAAAATCATCCATTTCAGTGACCACACTGATCAGTGTTTACTGCTCTATTTTAACACCATGTTTTTTTACACTGTGGATGGAAATTTAATACTTGGTTCTCCAGAATTTTCTTTTTGTTAAAATTCTGTTAGAACACATACTAATCACTTTTAGCCCCCCACCCCCACCCCGAAGGCGAAGGCGTAAGTCAAAAACAATCCCACACCAGTTTAGAATTATGATTAATAGAATGGTTATTTATTTAAAGGGGAAAAAACTTACAGATCACCGTCCCAGACAACAGCCCTCTGTGCAATCAGGAAGGGAGTCTAGTCGCCAGAAGCAGAGCAGGAAGTAAGAGAGAGCGAGAAGGGAAGTGGCTGCTTTTTTAAAGGGAGAGAGACCACGCCCCAATGGGCTGGTATCTCAGCGGCTATTGGCTGGAGGAGCGGAAGGACCTCCTGCAACACCCCCCCCCAAAAAAAAACCAAAGTGCCTTCATATTAATGGAATGGTATAATGTCAACAATATTGATGATCAAATGTATATTTGACACATATACAAATTTTCTAATCTATAAATTTTTCTAGTTGTTTATGGTATCCACACCTTTCTTGCAGTGTAAAGTCTTGAACCTCTACTTCTACTTCACACCCCCAACCCATTCCTTCAAAATCACTCTGCTTTAGTCCACAATTCATTGAGAGGATATGGGTTATCATTTCCATTAGGACCATTATTATTAGGAAGTTGATTTTATTTCTTGCATAACTGAATATAAATTAAGAAGTTTGAACTTGGTTTGTAGAAAGTATTGTTTCCCTTTTTTAATTTTTGAGATTATAATGCAAGTATAACACTTTCCCCTTCCATTTGCACCCATCAGAACCCTCCTATATCCCTCCTTGTTCTATGTACATATTAATTCTTACGCTATTCAGAGAAAAAATCATAACTATATACTCCGAACCTAACCTATTTTATGTTTTTTTTCCAGATTATTTTGACTGGGACAAGTATTTGAAAGAAACTGGTTCTATAAGTGCTCCTTCAGAGTACTTCAGACAGGTATGCCAAAATTCTGTTGAGACTTTATACATTAATGTACAACCTTAGCATGTGGAAGAGTAACTATGTGGTTTCAGGTTTCTGGTAGTATGAGGAGAAAGTAGGATTATGTTTGTGCCACCCAAAACCAAGTGATCTATTTGCAGTTATTTTGCTAGCTATAGTAAGCCCTTAAAATTGCCATTTAGAGGGAAAGACAAAAATAGCAAATATAACAAACATAATAACTCGTACTGAAAGAGCTCCATGGAACAGATGCTATTTAAGATTGTTAGAATGAGAAGAAAGAAAACATGCAAAACAATTTAAGTATTAAGAGATGGCACAGAGTAGCTGGAATGCAAGGTAGATAGAGCACTGTAGGATCAAGGCTAAAGGTGTGTAAGGTGTTTGAAGTGTGTTGGAAAGTTTAACTTTATCATAGACTTTGATAGGACTTCTAGTTTGTTCATTTCAAGGGGAATAGCTTAATAGGATTCTTATTTTTTAATGTCTTTCAGGATGTATTTTATAGACTATATTTGTATTTTCTCGATATACAGGTGTGTGAGGATAGTGATAACCAGCAAATTTTTTTCTGCATGTCAGTCAAAAGGGAGACTTTTCCTTGAGCCTTGTAACACTGACCTCATTCACCTGCTGTGACTTTAAATAATGTCTCCTAAGTATTCTGGTAACTTAATTTACCATCTGTTTTTCTTACAGTTCATGCATTTTAACACAATGTTGTTTATATATTTAGTCTAAGATTCCACCAACTAATGAATTCCAAGTTGGTATGAAATTGGAAGCCCGTGACCCTCGCAATATTGCTTCAGTGTGCGTTGCTTCTGTTATTGCAACTACTGGTGCCAGATTGCGTTTACGACTGGATGGTACTGACAATAAGAATGATTTTTGGAGACTTGTTGATTCATCAGACATACAGCCTGTTGGGACCTGTGAACAGGAAGGAGATTTACTTCAACCCCCACTGGGTAAGGAGAAAGAAACAGTTCTTGAATATAGTCTTACTAGTAAGCTAAGCTATTTACTAGAGGTGATTTGAAGTATCCTTTTAAAAATCACTTAGGCCAGCCGGGCAGTGGTGGGGCACACCTTTAATCCTAGCACTTGGGAGGCAGAGACAAGCGGATCTCTGTGACTTTGAGGCCAGGCTGGTCTACACGAGCTAGTTCCAGGACAGGTTCCAAAGTTGTCTGTAGAGAAGCCCTGTCTCAAACTCAGCACCCACCCCCCTCAAAAAAAAAAGCCACTTTGGCCTTCTTACATGTTCATGGCCAGGGAGTCACAGTAGAGGATATATGATGCACTAAGACACTTTCATACATACTGCACAAGTGTGCTAAAAGGCCTCATTTTTTGAGCAAATGCTATAGTAATCTTCAGATTTAAAGCAGCAAAAGAAATTTTCATATACCATGCATGTAAATTTAGAAACTCCTTTAGAAAAGAAGCCATTATACATCATGTGAGTGACACACCTCTTGATAATGTCTATTGAGCCATTCAACACTTTGGGTATGAAGATGAGGATAGGAAGAATGTGAGATTTTACATTCTGAGAGGAGTACAAGAATCAGTACCTCTTAGACATCGAGAGAGTTCTTTCAGTCCTAACCATTAGACACCAAAGAACCTAGTTACTGTTAGGCATAGAAAAAGATGAGAGAATGGAAATTTTAGCAAAGGGCTTAAGTTTAAGCGCACGTAGTGTTTGGTTGGACTATGTTTTTAAAATACAAAATGATTATGACATATTTTAGAAAAAACCTTAAAGAATTGAAGAATATGCATATGATCTGTATATATGACACTCCCACATCAAGAAAATAAGTGTTTAGTTGATTTGGTGATCATTCTTCATTCTAAGTGAATTTCAGATGTTAGTATTCATATTTACAATGTTTAAAATAAAAATTAATGTAAAACTCACAATGAATTTTTCCCTATTAGTAAAGTATTTCCCAAGAACCAATAATACATAATATTGAGAATAATTACTTTAGTATTATCTTTTAAATTTTTGTTAATTAAAATTGATTTAGTTTAAGAACTGGAATGTAGCCCAGTCAGACGAGCACACACTTAACATTCACAAAGAGCTTATTATCGATTCTTATTACCAAACATTGTTTTAAAGTAATTTTAAAGGAGATTCAGTGAAACTTAGTGACAAGGTGCTTGTTTAGCAGTCCCCCTTCATTGGTTTTTTTACCTGTCCAAGATAGGTTTGTTTCAATGTTTTTGGGACTGTATCTCAGTAAAGTAGCTCATGTTGCCCTTGAACTATATTGATCCTCCTGTTTCAGTTTCCCAAATGCTGAGATTATAGGTATGTGCCACTACAAAAAAGTTTTTTTTTTAAATTTTGCCTTGTTTTTATTTCTTTTACACTTATTTAGTGTGTGTGTGGGTGGGTGGCTGTGGTGTGGCTGTATACACACGTGATACAGAACACAAGTGAAGGTCAGAGTACAACTTGGGGAAATCAGTTTTCTTCCTTGTACCATGTGCTTTCTGGGTATCAAACTCAGGTGGTCAGGCCTGACAGTAGGAATTGAGTAACAACCATTCCATGTTTCCACTATCACCATTTTTTTCCTAGTTATATTTTGGGGATTTCAGTAAAAGTTTATTTGATAATGACTTGGTCTATCTTAACATTTTAGCATATGTTGCCTGTTGATAGCTCTGTTGTCGGTGATTCACCTGCACCTCTATCTTAGTGAATGAATTCATCAGGGGGTCATAGAAACTTTTTTCCAATTCTAGCATTTTTAGGAGGCAGGTTTTCAGTGAAAATGGTTGCTCCAGAAAACAGACTTAGCAAACTAGTCCCTGCTGTATATGCAAAATGTTGATATAAGTTGGTGAAATTTCTTAACAAGCTTATTTTGGTAACTTCTCTTTTAAATTTAAGATCATGTCTAGTATGTGTAAGAACTGCTAAAGGAAGAGAAGTCTTTTTCCTAATATTTTATAAAAGTTTCAGACATACGCAAAATGTAAAATAATTTTACAATGAGTATCCATAGACTCACTATCTCATTATTTTACTATATTGATTTATTATTTATGTGTTCATCTGTCATATTTTTATGTATCCCAGAATAGTTGATATTAAATATCCTTCCCTTAAATACTTAAGCATGCATATTGTTAACTAGAATATAGTCATAATTTTTTACCTTTAAAAATTTAAAATAAGATGGCATTTTGTATATGTATATTTGTGAAGTTCAACAGACATGATCTTTTTGAAAGTCAGGGGCTCCAAGAAGAAGGGCTAGAAGCCGTTTGCCACCTTTTCCTATTCTTGTGTGGTTTTTGGTTGTAGAATTAAAGGGTTACTGAACTGCAGTTTGTATCAACTGTATTATTATGGCCTGTCCTCAACATAAGTGTGTTTGTTGGCAAGCCTTATCCAATGGCTGCTCTAAAATGAAAGTTTCTGGTTCTACTTTGACTTTGTTGCCAGATGTCAAAGCGATGGTTGTAGCTACAAGAAGATTCATCTCCTTTTACTCAAGTCCTTAGAAAGTCATTCTCAGAAGATGATATGTGAATGTAACCCATTTTTCTCTATTATCATAGTTTCACAGGTTTTTTTTCGTATCTAATTTATAAAACAGGGTACAGAATGAATGTTTCATCATGGCCCATGTTCTTACTACGAACACTAACTGGATCTGAACTGGCACCTGCAGGGTTCTTTAAGAAAGTAAGAAAAGCATTACAAGAAATCTCTGTCCTCTCTCACATGATTTTATTTTCTAATGGGAATGCTTAATACTTTGTCTTTTCTGACATAGAAAAAAGTTGTTTTTTTTTTTAAATTGCAGGTTAGCAAATACTTTGTTATGGCAACTGTAACAAAGTGGAGTAATTTATACAGTTAAATATATTTACCCACAGTTTGGAGGCTAGAATAAGAATTAAGGTGCCTTGAAGACTGGTTTATAGTTGACCATCTTCTATTGTCCTTTTATGAACTCTGTGTGTGCACACCTAGTGGGTCTCTTATTATTATTAGGTCTCACCAGTCAAACTGGATTAAGGCTTCATTTTCAAATGTGTTCATATTGGTAATACTTCAACAGAAGTTTGGTATGAACAGACACCATTCATTTCGTAATAGTAACTGAAGTTCTTATGAGTTCATGAATCTGATAGACCCATCACACCCAGAAAGATTCTGTTTTGCTCTGGTTCTTTCTGACCTCTGACTCTTAGAATCTTCCTGCCTTTCTTTTCTGCAATGGTTCCTGAGGCTTGTGGTGGTGGGATGGTGGGATGTGGTTATCCCGTTAATAGTTGAGAACATTTATTCTCTGCACAATGACCAGTTGATTAACAGTTTCCTTTATAGTATAGAAGCTTTTTAATTTCATAAAGTCAAAATTGTTGATTGTTGTATTTATCCTGGGTGACTAGAGCCCTATTCAGCAAGTTCTTACCTCAGTCAATATACTCAAGTGTATTCCCTGCCCTTTCTTCTAGAAGTTTTGCAGTTTCAGATCTATCATTGAGATTTTTTTATTCATTTGGCTTGATTTGTGTGAAGATTGAGAGAAAATGATCAAATTTCATTTTCCACATGTATATAGCTAGATTTCGCAATACAATTTGTTTAAATAGCTACCTTTTCCCTAGTGTATGTTTTTGGTTTCTTTGTCAGGAAACAGGTAGTTGTAGGTACGTGTAATTATACTTGGGTCCTCAGTGCTCTTCCATTGCTCACCGTGTCTTCTTGTCCTGGTACCATGCTGGTTTTACTACTATGACTCTATAGTGTAACTTGAAATCAGGAATACTGACACCCTCACCAGTGTTGATTTTATTATTCAAGGCTGTTTTGATTATCTAGGGTATTATTTTGGGCTTTCATATAATTTTAAGATTTTATTTCAGTTTATGTAAAAAATATTTTTTTAGACTATTGGTAGAGTTTGCACTGAATCTGTAGATTTTTTTTGCTAGGATAACCATTTTTATAATATTAATACTGCCATTTCATATGTATAGGAAGTCTCCCTTTCTTGTGCCATCTTCAATTTTTTCTCCAGTGTTTTCAAAATGTTTTCACTGTATATGGCTAGATTATTTAAACATTAGTTCTAGAGATTCAAGTCTTACTTGAAGGTGTGGACAGCACTTCTGAAGCTTTCTGAATTTCCATGCATGATCTTTCTGTGTCATCATGCTTTTACACAGACTTACTGTTTTGTGACTGACTTCCAGAGCAATTTCTATTTTTATCTCTTCAGAATAAAATATATCTTTGATATTCTGACACTTCTTCCTGAAAACAGAGAGGAAACTTTTTAAAGTGATACTTCTCTAGAAGCAATATTTAATATTTTTTGTCAGTGAATCTTAAATTTCTGCCATGTGATAGAATATATTTCTTGTGTGAGTGGATGGATCAGGCTAGTTTTGTTTCCTTCTAGATTCTTTGCTTTGCAGGGAAAAAAATAAAAAGTTAAAGGAATAGTTTATTATCTTTAAGAATACCTTTCTTCCTAATGAATATGAAGTCTATGTTTGGTTGCTAAGGATTATAAAAGAACACTCTGAAAAGATGGATCTTAATATACCTTATCTGTGAAAAATTTAAAAATGTTTTTGTAGGAACCACCACCACCACCCCTAAATAATTTTAAAGTTGGGATGAAGATTGAAGCCGTCGATAGAAAAAATCCATTTTTGATCTGTCCTGCCACAATTGGAGCTGTCAGAGGAGATCAAATTCATATTACTTTTGATGGATGGAGTGGGACATTTGATTATTGGTGCAAATATGACTCTCGGGACATCTTCCCAGTTGGATGGTGCTGCCTCACAGGAGATGTATTGCAGCCACCAGGAAACATTGGTAAGCTAATTATATATTCTTTTTTTACATCTTATTTTGATGGCAGTGTGTTTAGTAGTGGTGATTTTAGGACTTGGTGACAAATTAGAATGGTAGGTAGACCATTAATAACATTCTATAGTCTAGGTACTAGAGATGATGGAAGTTTCAAATTAGGATAATTAGAATTCTTGAGAACTCCCTACACATCTTATTTTGCAGTTCATGCCAAGTAAGAATATCAGCAAAGCCAAAAGTCACATTAAGAATATTGGAACTGTGTTGTTATAAACCTTGGCTATGTATAGGAGATGGTTATATTTAAAATTGCTTCTGTAATTATTATTCAATTAAAATGTATACTTGAGTTCTGGGGATATACATGGCTCAGTATAGAGTGAATGTCTATTCTCAACACCAAGGCCTTTTTAAAAAACATTTGCACATGATATTTCATTAGGTACATCTCAACCATAATTTTATAAATTGGACATAAGTATTGGAATATATTTTACATGGTTCTGTTTATATTTTAAAGATAAACTGGTACTCTGATATTCTCAAGTAAAATCTATATGCGAGTAAACTTTCTGAATCTGTGGTAGCTGTTGTAGATTTCTTTTCAGTAATTGAAGTTTTTGTCATTTGTAATGGTATTTCTAGATTGAATACTGTGATCATGTAGATGCCTTCTTTCAGAGAAATGAAATGTCGACAAAATATCAAAGCTCTTTGCAACTCATCCAAGGGCTTAAGCAAGCCTGATGTGGTCTTTGAAGTAACACTGCTGAGATATACTGGCCTTGAGTTTAATATAAATTTACTGCTGGAATCAAATGTAAAGATGATTAAAGTTTACCTCACTAAATGTTATCTGCATCATGAAAAAGAAATATAAAATAAGTAGGTAAGGAATATAGTGGAAGTTAGGGACTAGAAAAAGGCTTATAGTTATGTTTTTATTGTAACTGACTGCCCTCGAAGTCTTCTGTGATTTAATACATCCCATTATAGTATAGGAATACTTACCAGTTTATTGCTGCTGTATCTAGCAAGTAAATGTTAGTGGTCAATTTTGGTAAGTGTTTCTATTACACAGATCTATTTATGATACTAAAGCGGTTAATACATGGTATCTGCTCTTACAAAATTTATCTGCAAGTGAAGAGAAATGGACTGAAGGGTATATCTGTTAAAAATTACAAAAATAGAAAAGTATGGTAAATATGGAAATAGCTCAAACTCTGGAGAGAATGATGATTGAGTAAAGAAAATCTTCAGAGAAATATGTGACTGTTGAGAAAGGAGAAGAAATTTGCTATGCAGAATAGAACTGTAGGTAGGTATCACAGGTATAAACTTTGAGTTTACATTGAAAATGGATGAATTTTGCTTAAAACATGGTTGAGTTTGGAATGTGTGAATAAGAATGCTTTTTCCTCGAGTACCATTTTTTCTTCTCCATTTAGCTGCATCCCCAACCATGTGGTGGTTCTGGTTATGATTTTGTGGTGATAGAAATCATACCCAGGACCTCCTTATATGAATCATGCCCGAAGTCCCTTTTGGCTTCTTTCTTTATGTAATAACAAGAAGATATTTGTACATCACTTTGTGCTTTAAACTTTCAGGTTGAAAGAGATTATACTGAATATTCTATTTCCTTGCTTATTTCTCATACTATTATCACTGTGTAGATGATCTCTAATTTAGGATGACTACATTTACAAGTTTTGTCAGTACAATTTAGTGAAAGCAATAAACATTCAGGAGAAACCATACTTGGAATAGTAAAATTTAATAATTTTCTAGTCTAGTAATATGTGATAAAATATTTTATCGTGCTAGGCATTGGCAGTAGACAAAAAGGGGGAAAATGTTCTTCTGGTGTTGGTAGTGGATATATGATTCTGTTGGAGACTGTTCATGTTTTCACAGCTGATGATATTTGAAAAATGCCCATATGTGTCTCTTATATCCATATATACTTTCTGCTTTTTACTTTGAGTACGGTTTTCAATAAATTAATAAGATATCCAGTATTTTATTTTAAAATAGGATTTTTTTGTTAAAGTTACATGATTTTACCCAACTATAAGCCAGCATAAATCTTCTGAGCATGTTTTAAGATAAATTAAATTTAAGTTTAAGCTATGATGTTCAGCAGGCAAAGTGTATCAAATGCATTTCAACTATCAAAATGCAATCCCATCATATCTTGAATAACACATATATTCCTTTATAAAATATGTCCCTACAAATTGCAATTTCATTCTACATGCATTCTATCATATGACTATATGTAATTAATTAAATTTTCAGTTTGTTAGATATTGAAATCCTTTAACTTGTATGTATATTATTAGACTAGATGCTATAAGTACTTTTATATACATATACTTGTGAAGGCGTAAGTCACAAACAATGCCACACCAGTTTGGAATTATGATTAATAGGGTGGTATTTATTTAAAGGGGAAAAAAACTTACAGATCACTGTCCCATGCAACAGCCCTCTACGCAACCAGGAAGGGAGTCTATTCGCCAGCGGAGCAGGAAGTGAAGAGAGAAGAGGAGAGGGAAGTGGCCTCTTTTGTAAAGGGAGAGAGACCACGCCCCCATGGGCTGGTATCTCAGCAGCTATAGGCTGGAGGAGTGGGAGGACCTCCCGCAACATACTTGCATTTTTCCATATTTCATACAATAATTTGCTGACATAGAGAATATGTTTTTTTTTGAGAATATGTTTTTAAGCTAGTAAATTGTCTTTCTCCTGAAAGACAACTCATACTTGTATTTATTATCCTAATAATTAGGTAAAATATTGCCACGCACCTCACCCCTGTGTCTGTGCTCTGTGCACTGGCACCCAGTTACCGAGCTTCGGGCAAGGGGCAGAAGGATAAAATACACAAACACAGACAGAAAGACAGCGACACGGGTCATCCTTGAATTTCCCAAGAATGCCCCCTTTATTGGGTTCAGGGGCAGATTATATAGAGATAGCCACACCCCAGCCAAACCCACCAGAAACCACTCTCTTGCCATCAGGAACTCCTGAAGGTCTCGTGCTCAGAGGAGCTGTAGGCACTCAGATCAGGGGATTACAAGAAATTCAGGATCTGGGGTCTCACTGCTCCCAACAAATATTTTTCTCCATCCTGTCCAACCTTGGGGGAAAGATGTTTCTAAATTCATTATTTTCACATTTTTCTTCTTTAACTTATTTTACAGACCAACCAGTTTCCTCTTCCTTCTCTCTTTCTGTCCCCCCTCCCCCCCCCCATACACACTCCCATTTTCCACCCTCCTCATACACTCCTCAGTTTCTATTCAGAAAGGGGCAGGTCTCCCATGGGCTTCAACAAAAGTATGGCACATTAAATTGAGGCAGGACTGAGCTTTTCACCTTACATCGAGGCAGTGCCTGGTAATCTGGCATGGGGAACATGTTACCAAAAGGCAGCTAAATGCCAGAAAGTTCTGCTTCCACTGTTAGAAGTCTTACAAAGAGACCAAGCTACAGGATTATCACACACATGCAGAGGGCCTAGGTCAGTCCCATTCAGGCTCCCTGACTGTTGATCCAACTTCCATGTGCTCCTGCAATCTCAGGTCAGCTGTCTCTATATGATCCCCAATCATGACCCCTCTGGCTGGTACAATCCCTCCTCCCTTTCTTCCACAAGAATAGGAGCTCAGGACAGTGCTTGTTTGTTAATCTCTGCCTCTGCTTCTGTAAGTTACTGGATAAAGTGTCTCTGATAGCAATAAAGGAAATCACCAGTCTGCTTACAGTAGATGGCCAGTTCAGGTGCCCTCTCCACCATTGCTAGGAGTCATCCTTGTGGGTTTCTGGAGGTTTTCCTGGCACCAGGTTTCTCCCTAACCCCAATATGGCCCGCCCATCAAGACCTCTCTTTTGTTATTCTCCCCCTCCATCCTGCTTCCAACCTGACTCCAGCATCCAGCCCACCCAAGCCTCTTCCTCTCTTTCCCATTCCCTCCTTCCCCTAACCTCTACCTCCAGTACCCAGGAGATCTTTTCTACTTCCCCTTCCCAGGGAAATCCATGTGCCTCTCTTTGGGCCCTCCTTGTTACCTAGCCTCTCTGGGGCTGTGGATTATAGGTTGGTTATCCTATGCTTTACTCCTAATAACATCTGTGATTGAGTACATACCATGTTTATTGTTCTGGATCTGGGTTACCTCCCTCACTCAGAATTATTTTTTTCTAGTTACATCCATCTGCCTGCAAATTTCATGAGGTCATTTTTTTTTACAGCTGAGTAATATTACCATTGTATAAATGTACAACATTTTCCTTATCCATTCTTTGGTTGAGGGGCATCTAGTTTGTTTCCAGGTTCAGGCTATTACGAATAATGCTGCTATGAACATAGTCAAGCATGTATCCTTTGGGTATGTGGCCAAAATTGGTATAACTGGGTCATGAGGTATATTGATTCCCAGTTTCCTAAGAAACCCCCATACTGATTTCCAAAGTGGCTGTACAAGTTTGCAGTTCCACCAGTAGTGGAGGAGTGTTCCCCTTATATCCTTTCCAGCATAAGTTGTCATCAGTATTTTTGCATTTTTCATTCCATAATTTGCTAGGGAGTTTAAAGCTTTTCTTTCTATATGTTTTGTTTATTAATACTCCTTTATAATTTGTCTACTAATTGCCTTTTCTCATTTTTCATCTTAGAATACTATTTTTTTTACTAGTTTGTTTCATTTATTGCATAACTTAGAGAGATGGCTCAGTGGTTAAGAGCACTGCTGCTCTTCCAAAGGTCCTGAGTTCAATTCCCAGAAGCCACATGATGGCTCACAGCCATCTGTAATGAGATCTGGTGCCCTCTTGAGGAAGAGACCTGGTCAGTCATCCCCATCAATTTAGACCATGAAACCTAATATGCACAAGTTCAACAGAATGGCCATATACAGGCAGCTCATGCATGCTTCAGCATTGCCAGGGCATAAATTTCATTCATTCATTCATTTCTTCATTCAAATCCA